TCCCGAAGAAATGTGCTCAACTTGTTGGCTCAGCTCTGGTACTATCTTCGGTCCCAAGCTAATCGATTCACCCCTCGAAACATGAGAAAATGCACGAACCCCTCATTTTATCTGTCAAACTTTCATAAATAATCAAAACAAACATAGTGTAGTACCAGAATTTCAACCAGAATGGGATACGTTAATCGATTTGCTTGGGACCAATAGGCTAGTCAAGTAGTGAGCCAATTTCAAATCGATAGTTTCGTATTGATTGTTGGTACAACTGTGTATGCCAAGCATGGCCCCACGAACTCTCTTGTAAATGTTGACAGGCGGCGGCATAGAATTTAGGAGAGTACGTTGTAGGCGGCGCTCAGCAGCGTGAGCAACCGGTGGAAACTAACGATTTTAAATTGGCTCACTACTTGACTAGCCTATTGGTCCCAAGCAAATCGATTACGTACCTCATTCTAGTTAAAATTCTAGTACTACACTATGTTTGTTTTTTTTTTTTTTTTTTAAGTGTATGTGTAGACTAGACTAGACTAGACTAGACTAGACTAGACTAGACTAGTACTACACTATGTTTGTTTTGATTCGCTATGAAAGATTGACAGATAAAATGAGGGGTTCGTGGATTTTCCTATGTTTCGAGGAGTGCATCGATTAGCTTGGGACCGAAGATAGTACCAGCAACAAGTACCCTATTCTAGTTGAAATTCTATTACTACACTATGTTTGTTTTGATTCGCTATGAAAGTTTGACAGATAACATCAGGGGTGTGTGGATTCATGCAGAACATGCAGGGGTGAGTGAAATAGCTTGGGACTGCTTGGGACCGTTGTTCTGGTACTGAGTGAGCCAAAAATAATAATGATTTTCTTCGGGACCCAGAGGTCTTAGAGTTACCTCTATGTTAGTAGCCTATTGGTCCCAAGCAAACGATTAACGTACCCTATTCTAGTTGAAATTCTATTACTACACTATGTTTGTTTTGATTCACTATGAAAGTTTGACAGATAACATCAGGGGTGTGTGGATTCATGCAGAACATGCAGGGATGAGTGAAATAGCTTGGGACTGCTTGGGACCGTTGTTCTGGTACTGAGTGAACCAAAAATAATAATGATTTTCTTCGGGACCCAGTGGTCTTAGAGTTACCTCTATCGTACCAGAGCTGAGTCAAAAAGTTGAGCACGTTATTTCGGGACCTTCTAGTCTTAGAGTTACCTCTATGGTAATATCATAAAGGGTGATACGATCAAAATTTGGTCAAGGGAAAACGCGTGTAAATCGGTGAAATCGTTTATTTAAAAAATCAAATTAAATTTCTTTTTCAAGTTCAATTAGTATAAAATTCAGGAAAAATATTCAGTTAGGCTTCCGCTTTTCCAAATCCGAATTGCCGGGCCTTACGCTTGACCCCTGCCATCAGATTTTGTACAGCCACCTTGTCCACCTTCTTCGCCGCAGAAATCCAGTTTGCCTTGAACTGCTGCTCGCCCTTAGCAGTTTTTTTGGTCTTCTTTATGTTCCGCTTGACAATAGCCCAGTATTTCTCAATTGGGCGGAGCTCTGGCGTGTTGGGAGGGTTCTTGTCCTTGGGAACCACCTGCACGTTGTTGGCGGCGTACCACTCCATGGCCTTTTTACCGTAATGGCAAGATGCCAAATCCGGCCAAAACAGTACGGAACAACCGTGTTTCTTCAGGAAAGGCAGCAGACGTTTATTCAAACACTCTTTCACGTAAATTTCTTGGTTGACAGTCCCGGAAGCTATGAAAATGCTGCTTTTCAAGCCACAGGTACAGATGGCTTGCCAAACCAGATATTTCTTTGCGAACTTTGACAGTTTCATGTGCTTGAAAACATCTGCTACGTTTCCCCTTCCTTTTGCCGTATAAAACTCCTGTCCCGGAAGCTGCTTGTAGTCGGCTTTGACGTAGGTTTCGTCGTCCATTACCACGCAGTCAAACTTCGTCAGCATCGTCGTGTACAGCCTCCGGGATTGCGCTTTGGCCGTCGTATTTTGTTTATCATCGCGATTTGGAGTCACTACCTTCTTGTAAGTCGATAGTCCGGCTCGTTTTTTGGCTCGATGCACGGTTGTAGACGATACACCCAGCTTATTTGCGGCATCTCGGAGAGAGAGGTTAGGGTTTCGCTTGAAACTACCGGCAACTCTCTTTGTCGTCTCAGCGGCTTCCGGTTTTCGATTTCCCCCCGATCCAGACTTCCTGGCTGTCGACAAACGTTCCCCAAACACTTTAATTACATTTGTAACGGTTGATTTGGCAACTTTTAGCGATTTTGCCTACTTTGCGTGCGAGTAGCTCGGATTTTCGCTATGCGCGAGCAAAATTTTGATACGCTGCTCTTCTTGCTTGGACGGCATTTTGACAACTGAAGAGTGAATTCCAAAATCAAAATAGGAGCAACATTCTACACACACACACCTTCAAAATGAGGGGTGTTCAGGTTTTTTAAATGCAAAATTGAAAGAAATACGTCAAGTTGATATTGCCCAAATTTTGACCGTATCACCCTTTAGAGGTAACTCTAAGACTAGAAGGTCCCGAAATAACGTGCTCAACTTTTTGGCTCAGCTCTGGCTCTTTATCTGTCAAACTTTCATAGCGAATCAAAACAAACATTGCGTAGTACTAGAATTTCGACTAGAATGGGGTACATTAATCGTTTGCTTGGGACCAAGTAGTCAAGTAGTGCGCCAATTTAAAATCGTTATTTTCGTATTGATTGTTGGTAATATCATAGAGGTAACTCTAAGACCAGAAGGTCCCGAAGAAACGAGCTCAACTTTTTTTTTTCGAGGATTGCGTTGAATAGGTGTAAAACTATCATTTTGTCCGTTGTATGTTGAAATATTGTGCTTTTAGTGAGTCAACGTATGATTACATCACGAAATATCGAGTTGATGCATATTAACAATTATTTTCGTTAGTAAATAGTGCTTAACTTTGATACAGCTAGCTAGGAGTCCCACTCTGAGACCTTAGTCATAGTGGTCGAAAAAAAGTTTATTATGATTGTGTGTAGCTCCTCTTTTGCCTTTTCAATCAACAAGGATCAACTTTACCATGTTTTTTTTTTTTTGTTAAAAAGTAATTGGAGTAGTTATTTGTGTTGGCATTTTTGAGGAAATTTTCATTTGACGGCAATTGAGAAACATAGGGAAATCTTGGATATTGCAGGTATCGATAAACACTCGATTTCATTTATCGTTCTGCTTACAAAATTCTTGCGAATCGAACGATGCAAAGTCAGCTCAAAACACTGAATATTTTTCAAATGGTACTTCTGACTCTTGTTCAAAATTTTGCTGCTTCTCTCTAGACTTCAAAATGTAAACACTTAATTCCAAATTTACGCGGTCATGTTTTTCCTCCTACGAAACCTAATGAAATCAAAGTTTGATGCAATTGGTTCCAAAAAAATAAAAAGTGTTCAAAGAAGAAAATGTTACATACATGTTTCTCCTAAGATTACCACAGTTTTGGTGTGTGAATCAGGGTGATGAATTTGTTAAAGTTAGCTATATAATTAAAATAAAGCCCATAAATGGATAAGGAAATATAAGACATGCGTTCAGGTGTGCTAGGAACACATAGAATTAAAAACCACGGTAGAATCATTCAAAAGAATTGACAAGCCCCTTGATCCCCTTTCTCATTTTACAGCTAGTATAATCAATTTGACAGATCGATGTCCGTCTATACCACTTGAAATCACTGAAATGGGGTCGATTTTTCATGATCGAGTTCCACATATGTTATGTGCGTTGGGTGTTGGACAGTACTGAAATGTTTGAGTTTCTTTCATGCTCTCCCTAATAAAAAATAACCATAAACGAACGATAACCCAAATCATTGAACTATTCCAAAAATGGTTTGGATGATACCCAGAACACGTCGTTAAGCAAATTAACCATACAATTTTTATTAGGGCTGCCAACGCCAGGCGTGCAAAAGCAGTAACGAAGTCCTGGGAAGTGTAAAAGTTTTGCGTGTGTATGGATATGTGAACGAGAGAAATAGGTACATACCACACCGAAACAACCCAGTCGACTGGCACCATGTCCTCATCGGTTAAAGAAACGTATACCACAGACAAACAGACATAACACTCGCAAGTTGTTCATCGAACAAGTATTTAACGGTCAATTTAAAAGTATCGTAGTTGGTATTACCGCCACCTGTGGCGCGCATAGTCATTTCCCTTGCGTTTGACGTTTACACACTACCGCCATCTGTTCAGTGTACTACCCACCACAGTGCACTCAATAGATGGCGGTAATGTTTTAGCGACGATGTTTTACAGTGAGAAATATTCAATGGGTTATGTCTGTTTGTCTGTGCGTATACGTTCCTCATCAACTCCAAATAGATGACAGTCCCCCTACTCCCAACAACGGTTCCGATGCCATCAGCTTCAGCGAGGGATCGAACTTCATGTTGTCATTTGGGTTCAAATCAGAGGGATTCAATTTATGGACCCCTTTGCACCCTCGCTGAATCATTTCGTTCACTATAGTTATAACATAGAGGTAACTCTAAGACCACTAGGTCCCGAAGAAAATCAGTATTATTTTTGGCTCACTCAGTACCAGAACAACGGTCCCAAGCAGTCCCAAGTTATTTCACTCACCCCTGCATGTTCTGCATGAATCCACACACCCCTGATGTTATCTGTCAAACTTTCATAGCGAATCAAAACAAACATAGTGTAGTAATAGAATTTCAACTAGAATAGGGTACGTTAATCGTTTGCTTGGGACCAATAGGCTACTAAAGTGGTGAGCCAATTTAAAATCGTTAGTTTCGTATTGATTGTTGGTTATAACAATATTTTCAAATTCATTTTCATTGCGCCGAAATATGTCATCCACCAGAAATATTTCGTCTCCTACGTCGGATTAATGCCGTCGCACTGCACCTGGTCAGCATTGAACGCACCCATTCCATCGCCCTGACAGCCGTGACAGCGACAACAGCCCTGCGCAACCGGAAACTCGCGGTGAAACGTCAAAGCCGCTGTCAACCCGCGACAGCTTCACTCTTTCCGGCATTAATTCGCTACTAGTGAGCACACATTTCTGTGAGCGCTAGTTAGTTTAACACCGTGTAAGTTGAGAAATAATCGTTTGATGGCGATGAAATTGTTTCTAAAGTGTAGCTAACGTTGCGGCGAGTGTGGAAATGTATAATTGAGTGCGATTTTGTGGAAATTTAGAGTGAATTTTGGAGTTTGATGTTGGGGCGAATTCCGTGTCAACATTTTGGTGGTGACGTTTTTGCTCCAACATGGAGATGGGATGAATTTGAATTGTGCCGTGTGAACCCAATGAAAATTGAATCTAAAGAGTGAAAACTAATTTGTGTTTTTTTTTCTCTACGATTTACAGCAAAATGGGAAGACGTCCCGCAAGATGGTGAGTATTGTGATTTGTGTTGATCATGCTTCAGGAAGCGAGAATCGTTCGTCCTTGACGTAAAAAATGAATGCCTTTCCAACCCGTTTCTAAAAGCAAGTCATTGAAATTGATTCATTGACTGGCCGCTGGCGAAAGGCAGAGCAAATAGACAAACAATAGGGTGAGAAAGATTCCCACTTTTCGATGGAATCGCTTCTCAATGTTGTTTGTTACAAATCGACGATTTGCTTGCTTGAACGCTCGAGAAGGAACGCAAAATTCTAACCTCGATTTTTTTTTTCGTTTTCAGTTATCGCTACTGTAAGAACAAGCCCTACCCCAAGTCACGGTTCTGCCGTGGTGTCCCAGACCCGAAGATCCGTATCTTCGATCTTGGTCGCAAGAAGGCCTACGTCGAAGACTTCCCGCTGTGCGTCCATTTGGTGTCCGATGAGTACGAACAGCTGAGCTCGGAAGCCCTGGAAGCAGGACGTATTTGCTGCAACAAGTACTTGGTCAAGTTCTGCGGCAAGGATCAGTTCCATATCCGCATGCGTCTGCATCCGTTCCACGTCATCCGCATCAACAAGATGTTGTCGTGCGCCGGAGCTGATAGGTCAGTAATTGGATTCCTTTGTTTATGTACTATAAATCCGCAACACCCCGATTTCCGTGATGATACCGCTTTCTCAGAGCATTGGGTTATGATCAATTACATGATTACCCTTTACACGTTGACACATTCTGACGCCTTTTAGCCGAAGTGTCTAGAAGAACGACTGAAGTTTCCGCAGAATTTTAATCGCGATGTAATTTCTTGCAGACTCCAAACTGGAATGCGTGGTGCCTTCGGTAAGCCCCAGGGAACCGTTGCCCGTGTCCGTATCGGTCAGCCAATCATGTCGGTGCGCTCTAGCGACCGCTACAAGGCGCAGGTCATCGAGGCCCTCCGTCGTGCGAAGTTCAAGTTCCCCGGTCGTCAGAAGGTGAGTTGTCGTTCGTGACCTGATCTTGGCAATACATCTCCATGATGAGTAAGCTTTTCAGAGCACAGGGCTCTGATTTTTCCATGATTAAATACCCCCTAATCACGTTGACAAAATTGACTGATCCGTCAAGAAAAACGTGATCTTTTCCTAATTCAAAAGCTGGAGCTCTAATGCACTTGCTTGTGTCTTTTCGCAGATCTTCGTCTCCAAGAAGTGGGGCTTCACCAAGTACGACCGCGACGAGTACCTGAAGCACCAGGAGGAAGGCCGTCTGGTTACGGATGGTTGCGGTGTCCAGTTCAAGAACGATCACGGACCACTGGCCAAGTGGGAACAGCACCAGCGTAACCGTCTGAAGGCCTAAGACACTCTTTCCAGCCGTAAGCCCGAAAGAGAAGGAAGAACCGAAACGTTTGCGGTAACCCGGAAGACCAGCTAAGGGTTGTTCTGTGTATTTTTTTTTGTACGCTAAGGACTGAGAATGTGCGTGAAGAAGGAAAATGTTCGAAATGGAGAAAATAAGTCCACAAAATAAATGGAGGATCCGTATTTTGCTGGCAAAATAGTTGTGTGCTCTACGGCGTGGAAGGTTTCTGTTTTGGATGACAAGTCCTGAAGTTGACGGGAATCGAATTGGGAGGGAAGGAGGTAGTAGGCATCTATCTTTTCGTTCTGCTGCAGCTACTAGTTATGGGGTTTAATCGACTCGGTGGGCGTGGTAAAATAGTTCGCAATCGAGATGAGTCTGTTGTAGTGTTGAACCTATCAGAGAGTGGGCCGGGGTCAATGGTTTCAAGTCGTTGGGATCGATCGTCTCGCATTGGTTTCAGCAAACGAGAGTTGAGGAAGGTTTCGACTTTCATTAGATAGTAGTAAGAAAAATGTTCGCTTTGCTTTTCAACTTCTATTGAATTTTCACACTGCCGTACTCTAATGGAACTATCTACCTACCCTCTACTAAGATCATTCTCAAGCTAATAAATTATCACACTAAAGCATCAGTTCGTTAGTAATTTGGTCACGATTGGTACGGGCCCTTAGCAGCCTACAATCCTAATAGTTTTTAACGAGCACCGACGCAGATCGTACCGTTATCGGAATAGATGTTTGGACTACGCTGGCCCTCAACTTAGTCTTCTTTAAGCACTTCCACGGTTCACAATGGATTCCACCTCTGCTAGAGCAGTTACCAAGGTCTCCTCATTCGTATTCTTTGGCAACTCCCTGTATGCCAGTCCAGTCTTGACTGAGCGCACCAGCCTTTCCCATATGGGACGCGTGTCTACGTTCGAGAACGTCCCCGCTAGATCTTGATTGATGGCACTGATGTGCTACCTTAGCTGAAACCTAGCACCTTGGAAATTGGTTCCTTGATCTGAGTAGATTTCCTGTGGCGGGCAACGGCGCTACGTATTGCCATCTTGCAGGATTCGGAAGACTTCTAAGTGGACTGCTCGGGTTCCTAGGCAGGTGAAGAGCGCTACCCACCTTTTGACACCACCACGTCCAAAGCGAACAGTGATCGGACCGTAAAGGTGAAGGCCCTGACATACGGCGTAAGGCGAGCCGAAGGCAGTGGAGCCATCGGTGGGACTTGTGGTTTCGATTTGAAGACTCTACACCAGTTACAGCAACTTGCCACCTTCTTGACGGCTGTTCGCAGTTCTGAGACGTGGAACTTCTGCCGCATTTCGTTCACCACCGTTTCGTTGTTTGCGTGTCCATACTTCTTGTGATACCAGTTAATCACTAGCTGCGTGACGTAGTGATCTTTCGACAAGATCTCGGGAAACTTGGCTTTGCGATGCGTGATCCCATTCGCATGACTCCGGTTGGTTCTAGAAACGGAGATAGTTTGAATATCCGACAGCTCTTCTGGATTCGCTTACGTTCCGCTAGCTACACTTGGTGATTTTGCCGCAGAATGTGGCATTCGTCCGGGTATTCACTCACTTGGATCAGCTTAAACACGGTCGACTCCGCTAGTTTACACTCCTCACTGCTCAATGTTACTTCTCCGCCCTTCTTTGATTCGTCCCTGCCCTTCTGGCTGCAGCCAAACCGTAGAACGAATGCTACTGTGCGGGTTAACCTTTCCCACTTCGAAAACCGTTCGAACTCGATGACTTCTTCCAATAGTGATTTTTCTTTATCGCCTCCGGAATCGCAGCATACTCATCCGCATTCAGGTTCTTCACAAATTGCGTTGAACTAGGAGAACACGTTGATCCGAAAATAGCGACGTCCATGACGTATACTTCGGATCGGATGGATTGTCCCGCCACAAGAAACCACTGAGCTGTATTATTATGAGCACTTGATGGAACATTTCCATTATGTCTCCGCTGATGGCGGTCTCCTTCTGTCGATAACGACATAAAACTGCTTGCAACGATGTCAGCAGGTCAGGTCCTTTTAAAATAATCGAGTTCAAGGAAACGCCTTCCACCGTTGCAGCGGCATCTCAGACGACCCTAACTTTATCGGGCTTTTCGCTTCGGATCCATCTCATCCAGTTCACGTGCCTGACGTTGTCGTACAAGGTTGGTGATTTATGAAGACGACGTTCTAAACACTTCAGTCTCTGCTCGGACAAGGACCTGCTGTTGGGAAACTCAACGTTGTCGAACTTCCGCAGAAGTCCGGTTTCGGTCCTGGTTGTGGTTGCTTGTAGAATATCTTTAGCTCGCTTGTCGTCCGCTGATTCCTTCTCCTGTGTCGCCGAAACCCCAACGCTCATCTCCATAGAGAAGAAACTCTTCACTAACTTGTGCAATTCGTTGTCTTGGGACTTGGTACGAATATGAAGAACTCGCTGCGATAAACTTCTGACGTCATTTCCAGAGTGACCATAAAGAACCAGCCAAGAATAGTTTTGGCGGCTACTGGCTCGTGTTCACGGCCCTCTCGCAACTTTAGCGTTGTCTTCAACCTTGTGTTGTCCAAACCTATCAGGATACCTGGAACCTCGCCTGGAACAGCGTCGTTGTAGCTTCGAACAGGTAAACCTCTCATGTACGGATATTTGCTCCTCAGCTCTTCAAAATGTATAGACTGTCGCGGTATTTCTAGTCCATCGATGGTTTGCACTTTGTGTAGGGTGAACGCCTGTGGTAACTCCAGAAATATTCAGCTGAATTTGCTGGGATTCTTCTTCCACACGCTTGACCCCGTTAGTCCCCTGCATACACAGAGGAGAAGTCGGACCTTGTACACCCAACTGCTCTGCCAAAGACCGCTCCATTAAAGTGGAATCGGAACCACCATCCAGGAAAGCGAAAGTTTGAACCAATCGACCATTAGCGTAAAGAACTACAGGGACAATACGGAAGAGAATTTGGTGATGTTGCTGATGAACGGAGATTACGCCAGAAACCTGAGTCGAACCCTCTGCTTTGCCTTCTCGTGGATCGCCCGGATGGAGCAATCGGTGATGGCATTGTTGGCAACCGTTGACCCCGCAGTTTGATGCTTTGCACGGCCATTTACCATGCGGATACAAGCAGCGTCTACACAGATGAACTTATTGAGCCACCTTCCATTTGTCTTCCAACGTCTTCGACTTGAAGCTACTGCAGTCTTTTGGGTTATGGCCGGCTATTTGACAAACCACACAAGGACGTTCGCTTCCCGTCTGGATGGAAGATTCTGGTTTATTGTTGGTTGTCTTGTCGTTCCGGATGTTCACCGTGTGTATTTCGGTTTTCCCTTTCGACTTTTCGGATTTGGTGGTGACTGGTGTGACACTACTAGCTGCCGTTACGATCACGTTCATGTAATCTGTAAAGGTCCTCAAGTCTACGTTCTGCACTCGCTGTTTATGCATCCCCAATCCAGCTTAATGTTAACTGGAAGTTTTTCGACCAGCTCCTCGATCAGGATTGGGTTCGCCAAATGTACTTGCTGTCCAGTCGAAACTACATGAGCACACAAATTTCGCACAGCCAAACCGAAACTGATAACAATTCCCAATTTTACTGATCGCTGTATCGGTGTTGCTCGAACTTCAACCAGCAGGGAGTTGATGATCGCCTCCGGTCGTCCATACAGAACTCGCAACGTGTTGAAAATTTCAGGAACGTTCGACGGGTGAAGGAGAAAGCTACTTACTGATTTCCTCGCGTCCCCTTTCAAGCATCGTTGGAGTCGCATATCAGGTTCTCTGAATCCTTGTACCCACAAATCTGCGTGGACGTCTCGTAGCTGCTCCAGAAAATCGGCCACGCTGTTGCGATGCCCAGCAAAGTACGGCAGGTCTTTGGGAACAACGTGGCGTGCTGCCAACTGCTGCGCATTCTGACCGTACGATGGCTGCAACCCCCCATACTGCAATGTTGGATTTGGTACCGCTGGTATGCATGGGTGTTTGGTAACTCGAGACACTTACTACAGGAGGACGAGGTAGGGGTCGAGGATTTTCCCAATCGATATTGATATTGGTGACAAGTATCCACGGCCCATACAAATTTTAAAAATTTTGTATGGAAAATTGTCTACGCAGGTGGAGGGGGTGGGGGGTTGGGTCAAGAATTCCAAAAACTGTCTACGTAGTTTATGAACAGCCCCTTGACTAGCCTATTGGTCCAAAGCAAATCGATTAACGAACCCCATTCTAGCCGACATTCTAGTACTACACTGTTTTTTTTTTTCTTTCTTTGGCGCAGACCTTTCGGTCCATTTCAGCCAAGTATGTTTGTTTTGATTTGCTATGAAAGTTTGACAGATAAAATGAGGGGTTCGTGGATTTTCCCGAGGATTTTCCTATGTTTCGAGGGGTGCATCGATTAGCTTTGGACCGAAGAGAGTACCAGAGATGAGCCAAAAAGTTGAGCACGTTTCTTCGGGACCTTTATATGTCTCAAGGCAAAAATTTATGCTCACAACACTCTTTTTGACGTTCTTCTATTCACTACCAGAGGTTGAATCGATCGTTTAGTTTCTATAAAAAACGCCTATTGCACTCGTATCCCTCCCCGTGGAAAATTTTGAAACTACCATCAAATATATCATATTAACAATATGATCCATTCATGCCTTTTCCAAATGTTGCAATGGCTAGAGTCGGTGTATAATGAGTCACGCCAAGAGAAAAACAGTTGAACTCGCATCACGGTTTTTGAAAGATTCCCTTTATTTTAACTTGGCAACAGATGACTTCTGCATCAACTTCAAATGACTTCTAGCGAGGAAAAAAATTAACGGCTGTAGTAAATCATTATATCAGGGATTTTGTCGAATTATCTTAAAGAAAAATAGTAGAAATTGTTATTACTGATCATTACAAAACGTATTGCATGACAAATGCAATGCTCACTGCGCGTATATGATCATTTCTTCGATTATATTTTATTTTTAATTGCAATACCTTTCGTGGACTTTCATAGCATCGTAATGCTTGTTTACTTTGCACGATAGGTAGCCGGTTTGACAGTTCAATAGGTAGACTTGGCTTCACTCTTGGCGTGACTCATTATACACCGACTCTAGCAATGGCGACCTGCAAAATATTGCTTCACGCACCATCTAGCGTTGAAAAAGGTCAACAACAATCATTCAATTACAATCGAGGGGTGCGAATATAGCACTTATTACAAAAATAAGAGTAATCAAATAAAATAAAATGCTGAAATACATTCATTTGAAATTTGGCTTACCCCTCGTGACGATAAACAAATACATTGGTAGCCTTTTTGGCCACAGAGGTGCTTTCATCGCTAAAAATTCGGTTCGCCAGCTAAGCGAAAGAGTGGATCATATTGTTAATATAATATCTAGACTAACATTTGAAAAGGGCGTAATTCCAAAATGACCATATCGAGAAAATCGCTTCTGAATTTTGATGACCTAAAAATTAATCCTATTTCACGACTTTCTATTTTCTCGTTGATTTTATAAGCTTGACTTATAGTTAATGGTGTAATCTATCATCACCCGCATGAGCGCGAACCATAAATTGACCTTACCGATAATGGTTATAAATTGTTTATAATCCCTGCTAAACTTTAACTGAAATGGTTATGGAACTTTACATGAACGTTTAATGATAAAGTTTTAACCTTAAGTATTATAGTTTTTTGGAAGTGGACCTTACAAATAATGGGTTGTTAAGAACCATTACCATTCAAAATTCTTGTTTTCTCCATACATTTTCGGAAAGAAAACTATACTAAAACCTTTAAACTTATGGTTTGAGAACTTTAATGGTAATGGTTATGGTAGTCAGTAAGGTCCACGAATTGTTTTGTAACATCGATCAACTTTATGTGGAATATATCGCGAATTGGTTGCCTGTAATTTACTGATTACCAATTCACGATATATTCCACGTAAAGTTGAGCGATAATACAAAACCATTAATGGACCTTACTGAATACCATAACCATTACCATTAAAGTTCTCAAACCATAAGTTAAAACGTTCTTATATAGTTCTCTTTCTGAAAATGTAAGGAGAAAACAAGAATTTGGAATGGTAATGGTTCTTAACAACCCATTATTTGTAAGGTCCAGTTCCAAAAAACCATAATACATAAAGTTGAAACTTTATCATTAAACGTTCATGTAAAGTTCCATAACCATTTCAGTTAAAGTTTAGCAGGGATTATAAACAATTTTTAACCATTTTAGGTAAGGTCAATTTATGGTTCGCGTTTATGCGGGCATGCATCACTAAAAACTCAAAAAAAGTTTCTTTGTCGTGAAATCGAGAAGAAAACATCATACGCCCTGATAATTTCATACATGTTGTTACCCCCCGGATCATCCACCCTTTGAACTGCCAACACTGATGATACGCCGTGGAAGTACACCCTCGGGATATATTGTTTGTTGTTCCGCCTTGGTTCTTCGTTCGCAAATTTTGTGAGAGTGGAATTACGCCCGGAGATTTTTTTGGTCTTCTTTTTGTTCGTTGTTTACACGTTAACTATCAATCGGATGCATTTCAAATGAATCGGGCGTGACTAGATACTACAGACTCAATACGTTTGGCATATTAAAACGATATAATTCGTAGTTCTGGTGCAAGGCGTAACAACCAGATGCATCATAGAGTTGAAAGTTGGAAATACGCCATGTAAGAAGAAACGTTTTTGATGATTTGAAGTGATCTTTTCTTCTACTTTTTCGTGTTTATCGAGTAGTTTGTGAACTATTCTCTCTATATGTGGCAAAATATGGTTTGTTTACATTTTGGCTCTTCCGCCCCTTTCAAATGTTAGTCTAAATATATTTGCTATATCATCACTTTCATAGTTCTTCTATTCTCCACGAGTGCCAACTTTGATTTGCCAATAATTGAGGATTAATTTTTTAACGTGAAAGTTCGTGTCCTGGCTAATGATCGCAAAGCTCAAAGACATATCTTCTTTTCACTGGGGCTTTAATCAAATGTGACTGTGACGTAATAACACCAAAACGTCAAATCAGAACTGCGGGCTCAAAAATTTCTACTCATATCTCGCTCCGGTTCCGAAGAATCGACGTAAAATAACAGAAAAACTATCTTCTCTCAAGCCACACTCCTCGGGAACCATGGCCGCTCAAGTAACCATCGATCAACTAGATAAGGATCAGATTAAATCGGTAAGCACCTAGCCGAAACGCCGAAACAACTACTTCGATTCTCTCACCTCACGAAACTATAACCTCGTATCGCCATCTATTTTCAGTTCTCCGATTTCCTCCTATCCTACAACAAACTGTCCGAGCTGTGCTTTATAGACTGCGTGAACGAGTTCACCGGCCGAAGCATTTCCGATAAGGAGGACAAATGCTCCCTGAATTGCATGGAGAAGTTTCTCAAAATGAACCAGCGGGTGTCGCAGCGATTCCAGGAGTTCCAGATGCTGGCCAACGAGAACGCCCTGGCTGCCGCCCAGAAGCTCGGTGGCAAGTGAGAAGTGTTGAGTGCGCGGGTGGGATGTTAGTTGTACAAATCAACAGTTTTGTTTTTTAGCGTTAAATGTATTTTATTATTACCAATATAATAAACCACGATCTAATCCCTACTGGTGAGATGTATGAAATTGAGAGAATACTCGAATTTTGACCTCTATTCTAATGTTATACGCAAAGCTCTTAGTGTCTATAAAAGGGATTTTCTGTCAGTCCCGGCTATGATTATTCTAATCTTATTAATCCATCTTCGACGTCACTCACGATTTGAAAGTTGATCAGCGCAGTTTTATACCAATGTAAATTGTGTCCTGCCTAGAATTCGACGGGGTCGAACAGGAAGGGTCACGCCTCCGGGAAACCCTCCGTCTCGGTGATCAAAGCGTGTTCCAGAATCACTCGACCCTCTTTGTACCTGCCAACCCAAAATGAGAGAAAAACGATTAGGTTGTGAAATTCATCGAGTCGTTTTGCTTCAGTGTCCCCAAGTAGGTGATCAAAACAACAGACAAACAAAAAATCCATCTCACTTTTGGGACTCCTCCGTGGCAAATTCGTACATCCATCCGAGCTTGGCTTTGCAGTTCTTGCACATCACATCCCGCACCATGTGGCGTCCGGTGAGCATGACCCGGTCCTGTACCGGGGAATAGGTCAAATTGACGACCCGTTTGAAGAGGTAGGCCCTCCCAGTGGCTCCCGTGAAGCGAGTGCTTATCAGTTCCCGTTTGTTGGTCAGATTGGTTTCGCAAGCGGCGCAGGAGTACAGCTTCTGACCACCGATATGATCGAGGAATACCTTACCCATGGCGTGATACAATTTTCAGGACGTTTCGAGCGACGAAATTGCAGAAAATTTGCTAATTTCCGCCTTTGTAGTCACCGATGGCGACTTTCACAAAATTCGATGGCAGGCAGACTGAAATATCACTCCTTTGTTTTGGTTTTCGAATCAGCCGAGGATGGATTATTTACGCACACACGCGCTGTGTGTGAACGAGGGAGTGCCCACGAAACTCGGATGACTTTTAGAGCCTACACGCTAACTCCAAAGTTCCCATTAATGAGTAAAATTTTACTCATTTTCAAGAAAAGTGGCTTAACTCATGAAATGAGTAAAACCGGGTTTACTCATTAATGAGTATTAAACAGATGCGTCAAAAATGGGTATTTTGTACCCTTGTTGCTTTTTCCGAAATGTATGAAAAGTACCCATTTTATTGATTTGCTTTTTGCTTCATGGGAATACCTGTCATCAAACCGATGTATTCCTTTAAGAAATCAAATCATATAAAACAAATTCATACTCTATATTGGACATAATTATAAGCACAAGTAATCACACAAATAATCAATAGCATCCACTGGGCATCGGTCTACGAGGTTTGCTGCTCATTCAGATGGTTCGGACCCTTCTGTAAACTTCATTTCTTCCTCTTTGAAAATCATCGCTAACCTGAAACGGAACACGTATTTGGAACAAATACAATTTTCATCATAATTGCACATACAATTTTTACCTCGTAACAATCGATATCAGATCAAATCCAGGAATGCTGTGCTGTTCTTCAGATTTTTTATGGAAAGTGACGGAAACAATAAAACTCGCAGCCGCAGCATTGTTGTTAAGTTAACATTTTCACGTCAATCAACATCGGACGGCTCGGTTGGAACACTATTTCATACTCCGTCGTATCGTCACGTAATCGATGCACGTGAAATTCAAGAATGTTCATAACATTTGGTTGTTAAAAATGATAAAACACTCTGCGCTTCCAGTTCACCAAAGATGTCTTGACAATAATTAAATGTACATTTTTACCCATTTTAATTGCAGTAGATATGTTCAAAAATGGGGAAAAAGTACCCGCTTTCCGGTTTTCGAAAATACCCATTTTTTGACATTTTTTAATAATTCCAAAAAAAGAGTACAAGGTACTCATTTAATGGGTACTTTTCAGTTAGCGTGCACTGTAAACACTGTAACTTGCAAGTACCCATTAATGGGTATAAAAGTACCCATTATTAGTAAGTATATGAAGCTGTCAAATAATGGGTAATTGAATATTTTTGGAAATGGGTTCTTTTGTACCCATCTTTTTTACCCCTTCGGGGAAGAAAAATGGGTATTATTTTACCCATTATTGGGTGAAAATTATCTTGATCAATAGTGAATACTGTCTAACACAAATCATCTTACGAGGCCTTCAAAATTGTTTTTTTATGTCATCTGTGCCTAATAAAATGAGTATTGAAATGTAAGTATTTATTTGGAATATATCTAGGCGGTGAACATTATGAAATTCAGAAGAACTTTAATAATTTTCATTTGCTTAATTTCAGATCCACAAGGAAGTGGCCGTGCACAAAGTGTTCCAGGAAAGGATGGCAAGAAGGAACTTCCGATGCAAAAGCAACACATTGCACAGCAGGAACAGGGTATGCCAAGTTGGAAAGCAGTATGATCCTTCTAGGAGCACAAGAAGACTCTGCGGATGTAAGTGAACCTCCCGGAAGTGGCAATAATTATGCATTTTAACAATCATTATTATCGAAATAAATGAAAACAAGTTATTAATGTTAATGTTTCCGCCATTTCAATGATATATGTGAAAAATCAAATTAAAATTAATCTCTAAATAGCTCAATTATCGAAAATGTATACTTTTTACCCATTTTCTAAATCGTTTCATTTCTGAAAATGGGTAAAAAGTACCCGATGATTTGACGTACAAGCTCTTTACCCATTATTGGGTAAAGACGTTTTACCCATTTTATGAGTTTACCCACTTTACTTCGAAAGGGTACTTTTTCACCCATTAATGGGTACTTGCCAGTTACAGTGAAAGCAAAGTACAACTTGAATCATACTTTATCACGGTAACACGGAACAACTCAAAATTGAGTAGAACATGCTCATTTCAGCCGGAAGTGCACACACTGCTTATCGCCAGTTGAATTTGAACGGGTGCATGTTAAACAGGTTCGACAAAATAAAGCTGTTCCTCAAAAAATCTGTAGGATTTTTTAGTGGTTCTGGGAAAAGACATCGAACCGGACTCGAACCAACAGTCAAGCACATTTGCAGCTCGTCACAGCCAAAGATTTCCCTGTACAATCGTTGAGATTTCGAAGGGATCGATGCTTTCAGATGGAAAGAATTATCACACTAAAACCGGAATACTTTTGCTGCTCACATTTAGCTTTTCACTTTTTCAGAACATTCATCAGTAAGATTTGAATACTCAGAAAAATTTTCAAGCTTGTTGAAGATGATTGTTAAGGCACTTCTAATAATTATAAAATTTACCCTAAATGAATTTGTGCCAGTTGAAGTAGGGCACTTATACTCAATTTATTTAGCATGCCACAAAGCAGAGAAGAAAGCCCGTAGGTAGGATTCCTCACACACCATATTGGCAAATCAAAGTTGGCACTCGTGGAGAATAGAAGAACTATGAAAGTGATGATGGTTTCAAAATTTTGCACGGGGAAGTATACGAGTGCAATCTTAAAATGCTTTTATTTTGAAAATGGAGCATTTTATTTAAATCTGGTTATTGCTACAGTGGTAGAAAAGCGGAAGTCTATGTTTACACCTAAAAATCTGAAAAGAAATTAAGTTTTCTGTATTATATGTCTATTGAGTAGTCCTGAAGTTTTCTACTAACGTAGCACTAACCAGATTTAAATAAAATGCTCCATTCACAAAATAAAAATTTTGAAACCATCATCACTTTCATAGTTTTTCTATTCTCCACGCGTGCCAACTTTGATTTGCCAATAGGGCACACACAACCTCTCTTCACTATAGATAGCCCGTATCAGATTATCGAATAAAAATCAGTACAATAAAGCTACCGACGAGTGTACATCTAAAATTCTATCGCAGAAAATAAAGTTCCGAGTACAGTAGTTCAGTGTACCACGTATCATCCACAATTCGCATTTTTTGGTTACGGTGAAAACCACACCCGAAGGACACTATCCGCCGCGAGTCCACCACTAGTCCGGAGAACCAGCTCCCCTACAATGATCTTTGAAGAATAACGATGGATAAGTTTAGATTAGGAGTACTTTCTGTCTCTTTCGTTCTTATTAACATTACGTTAGGACGGTCTTAACAGGAGACAAATCTTTCTAGGTTCAAACCCCTATAAAGGCATATTTTCTACTTAATAAATCGAATGTTTTCTCTTCAGACGTCTGTCGATCTGTCAAGATCCAAATTATTTCCAGCCAGTACCTTCATCAGGTTTAAACTTAGATAACTGTTGATACCAGAATCTCTAATTTAGTGAAAAGTTCAGTCCTCAGTCTAAAATCAAAGTCCAAAAACCTGATGTAAAAGGCACTCCTTTTCGGTCACATTGTGCAGTGACCAGTGATGGAAAAGTTCGCGAACACTCACTATGACTCGCGAACTTTTCCCTTGGTGAACTTCGTGAAATATCGCGGACTTTTCCAACACTGGCAGTGACCCGAACTGTCAAAACCATAGGATTTTTTATCTAGATAATAACAATTTGTCCAGAATAGATCAGACACGATCCAATTCACAACTTTTGCATGCGGGTTCATGGCTTTGCTAAATATTTCCCGCGAAAACGGAGCCAGATGTCTGTAGTGTGCTTTGGTCAGAAATTTTATTGTTTTTGCTATGGTTATTCATGTCGGTTTGTCGGTGGTAAAGCTACGAACGTTTCAAAACAAACTAGAAACTTATCGAACAAATCGACAGAGCGAGCAAAAACCGAACTGTACTGCTTGACGGTCAAGCAGAGAATGATGAGCGAAGGCGTAGTAGAAAAATTTACGTTTATTTGCTGGTTTTTTAAGTTTCAACATTTGTTTTTACATTTCAATTGTTTAGCCTTTGGCTCTTCAACTTTGTTCTAGTTAATTGGTTATTCTAATGTGATGATTGCGTTTAGCGCAAATTTACAGGATACCCTTTTAAGGTGCTTGCTTCCGTTTGAATTTAAAAATTTGATAACCTTCCTACTTGAAGGACAGAAACCTACACCAACTACTTGAACTAGGTTGCCAAATCACGAAAGATCTGGTGGTTTGATCGCAGACAGGCGACTCTGAACCTTTCCAGCGTGGACGTCTTTCGCTCCTCAAGTGTTTGAAGACTGGCCAGGTGGTGAATCTCAGAATTACGAGTTCGCGGTGGACTGTTAAAGATCATTCTGAGGATCTTGTTTTGGATCCTCTGAAGCTTTAGGTGGTGGCACTTAGCACAACTTGTCCAGATTGGCATACCATACTCAATAGCCGGCAGAATGATCTGCTGTTTACCAGAGGGTAGAGCGACCTGGTCAAGATGTTACACTTGGCGGATGTCTTCCCAAGTAACAATTTCCAGTTGAAGAAACGCTTTCGTTTTGATTTTGTTCAGCTGCATGTTGAATAATAATTGCACAATGTGTTAACCACAACTTTTATAAAACCCTTGTTTACACTGGTTTGGTTCTATACAACTGCAACACAAAGGTGTTGTCTAACGTATTCAGTAAAACGTTTATCCAAAATCAATTTCTTGTTGAAGAAACGCTTCCATTGTGATTTTATTCAACTGCATGCTGAATAATAACTGTACAATTTGTTTATTACAACTTCTGTAAAACTCTTGTTTACACTGGTTTGGAGAACCTGTTCAACTACAGCATTATATGTATACGCGGTATAGGAGTAGAAGCAACTTTCATACAACGTTTATAGATACATATTTAAAGTCAAGCTTTATTGTTTTGGTGAAAGCTCTTATACAACGTTTGTAGACACTTCCTGACAGCTGCTTTGAAATTTAGTAGAGAGGAAACCTGAGAGGCGTTTGTTGCACTCTTTTATGACTCCTAAATATTAATTGAACAGCAAGCGGTGAA